TAAATGACTTGGGGAAATCCTTAACTGACAAGGAAATGTTTGTGGTACAACCACTTGAAAAAGTAGTATACCTAAATGATATACAGTATGATTCAATTACAGAAATAATATGAAATGAAAACAAATCAAGAATATTATCTGTGATTGTTCTTAAGTTTTTGACAATTGGTACATAATTCTTAGATAGCTAGATTGATAGATTGAATGATCAATTGAAATATGGGTAGATAGATATAGTTAGCCTGGGTGGCTTTTTGATATCTTTTCTCAATTCTGCTATGAAATTGTTTGTGGGTTTTCTGCCTCATGTTATATTGATCTTGGTAAATTTTATCTTTAAAAAATCCCAGCACTTTGGGAGGCCAAGACGGGCGGATCACGAGGTCAGGCGATCAAGACCATCCTGGCTAACACGGTGAAACCCCGTCTCTACTAAAAATACAAAAAAAAAAATTAGCCGGGCGTGGTGGTGGGCGCCTGTAGTCCGAGCTACACGGGAGGCTGAGGCAGGAGAATGGCGTGAACCCGGGGGGCGGAGCTTGCAGTGAGCTGAGATCGCGCCACTGCACTCCAGCCTGGGTGACAGAGCGAGACTTTGTCTCAAAAAAAAAAAAAAAAATCTCCAATTTCTTTGACTTGTTATTGGTTTAATATTTTAATAAATATTTTAATATATATTTTACTAAAATTTAATATCATCCTCAAAATTTAATTTCTATGTTGCTATCTTTTAAAAATTACTCATAAGAGTTACAGATTATTTATCTATTTCAATGGATTTTCAAAGAACCCAGATTTAGTTTGATTTTAATAGTTTACTGTTTTTAAAATTTCTCAGTTTTATGTACATATATGTATGTGTATACATATATATAAAATCCTCATTTTCTTTGGATTTTTTGTGTTTCAAAAATCTTAATTTGAATGCTTTTAATACTATTTTCCTTTTTATTTTTAATGCAAAAAATGCTGTAATGCACAATTAGAGCATGTAAAACTAAATTTTCTTCTAAATAGTGCTTTGGATTAATCTCACATTTTTAACAGTGTTTGTTGTAGTTTGTTCAGGCTACTGTAACAAGAAACCTTAGACTGGGTAATTTGCCAACAACTGAAATTTATTACTCACAGTTCTGGAGGCTGGAAGTCCAAAATCAAGGTGCCAGCAGATTATCTGCCTGGTGAGGGCTTTTTGCTTCCTAGATGGCACCTTGTTGCTGTGTTCTCACATGGCACCAGGGGCAAGGTGGTTCTTGTCTATCTCTTTTATAAGGGCACTAATTCCATTCGTGAAAGCAGAGCCCTCAACACTTAATCACTTCTTCTAGGTCCCACCTCATAGCAGTATCACATGGGTATTAGGTTCCACCTCACAGCAGTATCACATGGGTATTAGGCTCCAACATATGAATTTTGAGGCAGGGTGGGAGTCACCAACATTCGGACCATAGCAGTGTTCTTGGTTTTGTTACTTTCTAAAAAATACATCATTTTATTCTTGATACCCTCTTTGAGAAAACATTTAGAGAATTACTTTTAAAATATTATAGTAACTACTATTTTAATATTTATTGGCAGTTTTATTGCATAGTGATTAAAAAATAAGGCCTTGGCAGGGCACAGTGGCTCATGCCTATAATCCCAGCACTTTGGGAGGCCGAGGCGAGCAGATCACGAGGTCAGGAGTTCGAGACCAGCCTGGCCAACATGGTGAAAGCCCATCTCTACTAAAAATACAAAAATTAGCTGGGTGTGGTGGCAGGCACCTGTTAGCTCAGCTACTTGGGAGGCTGAGGCAGGCGAATCACTTGAACCCAGGAGGCAGAGGTTGCAGTGAGTTGAGATTGTGCCACTGGACTCCAGCCTAGGCAATAGAGCAAGTCTCTGTATGAAAAAAAGAGAGAGAGAGAGAGAGAAAGAGAGAAGGAAGGAAGGAAGGAAGGAAGAGAAAGAGAAAGAAAGAAAGAAGGAGAGAAAGAAAGAAAGAAAGAAAGAAAGAAAGAAGGAAGGAAAGAAAGAAAGAAGGAAAGAAAGAAAGAAAGAAAGAAGGAGAGAAAGAAGGAGAGAAAGAGAAAGAAAGAAAGAAAGGGCCTTTCTCTATGAGAAGGGCACAAAATTTAAGTGACAGGAAATAGCATTAGTGTGGAGTTTAAACCTTGAATCTGACCAAATCTTTATTCCAAAGCATTTTACACTGGAAATGACTAGATACTTTTACTCGACAAATTTAAATTCTTTTACCACAACTCCCTCTGACCATTTGAATAGAGCTTGGGAACAAGATAAACTCAGGGGTTTTTTTGGGGCCGGGGCGTGGGTCAGGGGTTGGAGAGCAGCTACATTATTTTGTACATCTGAGTTGTGACATATAATTTTTATCTCTCCCCTATAAACAAATAAACAATTACAAAATTATTTTAAGTGTTCTGAAGTAGCAAATAGGAGTTAGATAGGCAAACACAAGTAGGGAAAAGAGATCTATTTTCAACTTGGCCACTAGGGAAGGCATGTCTAGAAAGTGACATTATAGCTGAGATCTCAGGGATGACAAAGTACCAGACCCTTGAGAATGGGAAGAAAGAGCTTTCAAGTTCAGAGGCCTTGAGGATGGAAGGAACTTGGCCTGTTCTAGCAGTGGACAGAAGGCCAATATGCTGGCATCATCGTAAACCAAGTTGAGAGTCACCAAAGAAGAGGTTGGAAAAGAGGATAATTTAGATTCTTACCCTTTATACTTAAATGTTTTGATGGCCTATGTATCAGTTAGTATAGGACAGGTTACCATAGGGTAACAAATGACCCCCAAATTTCAAAATGAAGTTTATTTCTCAGTCATGCCACCTTCTCACTGGGGTTGCCTGAAACTCCACTCTACGTCTTCACTCCTGGATCTATGGTGACAGGTCAGCCTGTCTGGGATATTGCTGATTATTACCATAGGGGAAAGAATAGAGCGTGAGTCTTCATGCTTCTGCCTGATGTGACACATGCCATTTCTGCCCACATATTGAACAAACGAAATTACACAGTGATGTCCAATTTCAGTAGGACGAGGAAGTATAATCCTCCCCTGGGGAAGGGAAGAGCATATTGGTATAGTTATCTCCTTGCCAGTCTATGTCCTTCTTATACATGTGGACCAAGAAGTAGAGAGAAGTGTACCACCTTTTTTCTTTACAGATTCGCTAGTTATTATCAGAGAAATGATGACTTTTAAAAATTCACGCCATCAGTAATTTTGTCAGTGTGTAGATGTTTTAATTTTAAGACCTCAAATTTCCCACTTCTCTAAATTATAGCAAAACAATTTCCTTAACCTCATGGGTCCTTAATTTGAGGGCAAAGTTTAAATCAACTTCAGTAGAATAAAATTTCATATTTACTAATTGTAAAAATCATTTCTTCTTTTTGTGGAGCATCCTCAGCTAGAGAAAGGACCGTTTGCCAACAGTACCGAATAGCATAACCTGATGCTAATAATTTACCAAGTGCTTTTCCACACGTTAAAGTATCATATTTTGGCATTTTATTCATGTTTACATTTGTAAGAGAGTTCAGTTATGTATTAGTATTTACATCTTCTAAACCAAGAAACAGAGGCAGTTTAGTTCTCAAAACCCCACAGCTAAGCCAGTCTTGGCGAGAACAACTTAAATTGGTACCATTATCCCTTTCAGCCCTGAGAACCACCAGCAGAGTTAAGCAATCTTTGTTGGCACCTTTGGTCAGTACAAGGCATGGGGGCAGAAATGTTGGGGTAGAAACGTAAGAGGGCCAGGCAAAGATATGAAAATTGTCTGGAGATGAAAAACTGCATCTAGCAGGGCTAGAATCATGTCACATTATCTTTTTTCTTCTTCTTCTTCTTCTTCTTGTTTTTTTGTTCTTTTTTGTTTGTTTTTTTTGTTTGTTTTTGAGATGGAGTCTCTGTCACCCATGCTGGATTGCAGTGGTGTGATCCCGGCTCACTGCAACCTCCATCTCCTGGGTTCAAGCGATTCTCCTGCCTCAGCCTCCCGAGTAGCTGGGATTACAGGTGCCTGCCACCATGCCTGGCTAATTTTTGTATTTTTTGTAGAGACAAGGTTTCACCATGTTGGCCAGGCTGGTCTCAAACTCCTGACCTCGGGAGATCTGCCCACCTTGGCCCCCCAAAGTGCTGGGATTACAGGCGTGAGCCACTGCACCTGGCTATGTCACATTATCCTCACTGCCATTCTGAAGCATTTGTGTTGAGGTTGTCCATTGCAGCGTAAGACTGTCCTATCTATAATTTTTGTCTCATCCAACCTTGTTTATTATGGGGAAAACACTGGTGGTACAGCAGTTTGAAAAACTTTGTTATCCTTAAACTATTAAGTATCTGGCTTTATTTGATAAAGTGGTTGGCTTTCTTTATTGCCTCCTCAAATAACACTGGTGCCACTTCTGTAGGAGATGAAGGGAGCTAAATTTGGTGGAAAGCATATTCCATTTTCAAAGGAACGCTGAGTTTTTCTTGTAGTGGTTTTTTGGTGACCCATTGCTAAGTTCTTAATAATTCTGTAATTCTGTCTGTTCTATCAACAGTAGACTGAGAATCGTTGCTGCCATGGTTGTCGTGTCAGCGTAGTGACTGGCTCATAAGAGGTGCTCATTAAAAATTCCAGCAATGGTCATGGGTTCTGAAAGATAGACCAACATTCACAGGACCAATGGCTTTATCTCAACAACTTATATCCTGCATCTTAGAGGCTGATGCTAGGGGTAAGTAATTATCTGGTATTCAGTGAAAACTTAGACACTGGGATTTGTATCTATACAAAACTACTCTATAGTTTAAAATTTGAAAAACACGGCCAACACGCTGACCAGTCTTAGTAAGGGAAAACTATCAGTAAGTTAAAGCTGACTTACAGGAATAATTTTACTCTCACATATATTTGCAATCAAATCGTATTGAGTATTTTTCGTTACTCATTGCTTGTGGCTAAAGAACAAATTTCACAAAACACAGATAATTTCACATTATCCTCTCAAATTTTATTTGTATTCTGCTCTAACAAATATAGTATGAAGGCAACAGTTGTTTTTTAGTGTATGGCACAGATGAAAAGAAACAAACAGATTTAGAAGCAGTCCAGCATTTAAATGCTGGTTTAACAAAAGAGGCACGTATTATCCTATTTAGCAGTTTATACCAGATATCAGAAGCCATTTTTTTTTTCCTTGCAAGCAACAGACTACATTTATTTGCATTAAGTAAAAACATACCTTGATCAAGAAAATTACTTTTTTTTCTGATTTTCCTTTATATCACAAATGTCAGGGTAAGGCAAATCCTTAATGAATCATGTAATAAAAACCCTATTCCCCAAGAAAATATATTGAACATATTCTGCTAACTTTGTTATTTTTCAAAGCAAAGCCGACATGCACCACATACAGAGAAATGTCTTTTCAAATCAAGTGCATCAAGCAGAACTGTATTAATTCACAAAGAGGCTTTTCAGTGTTTCATAGAAAGATTTACAATTAGCTGCGGTGATTAATATGTGACCCAGTATCACAGACAGTGATTCGGATGCCTTCTTTGTAATTTTTTATGAAAGAAGACTTGTCCATCATCTGAATAGTTACCAGCTAGAGGAAAGGCCCCTTTGTCTCTCCTACAGCGAGGACCATTTTAATTAGAACTATTATGTTGAAGGCCTACTTTGGTCCTCTGTACGCAAACATGACTAACATAGGGTTATTTTCCTCCCTCCTTCCTGTAACCCTTCATGCCACATAGCTGGATTGGAGTTTGGTTGGAAATTGACATCCAGAATTTATGTGCAGGAAAATCAATCAGCTTTTCAATTCTATTCCATTGTACAGCCAGCCAATGGCGGCACCAGCAAATGAAGGTTTTCTGTGTTCAGGTGTCTTTGATCTGGCTATAGTTAGATTGTTAATATTTCACTATTGAATTGGAAATTAACTTTATCATTTGTTTTAAAGCATAAAACTGCATAGCCAAATAGCAACCAACAAGCATGACGAAGCAAAAATGAAAACACAATCTAATTACAGATTGAAGATAAATCAAATTCAGGAGTGGGGCTGAAGATATTTATTCCTCATTCTCTTAGCTTCCTAGATACAAAGATTACTTTCATTCTTCTAGAATTTTTAGGCAGATAATTCCCTCCTTCCACTTCTACCCCACCCAATTTAAAATAAATGAATTAAATGACTGTCATTGATGATAAGGAGAATGCCAGGGCTGGATAATTCCCATCCTGGCTGTTTCTAGCGAGGACATTAGGTCTCTTCCATCATTGTTCATTAGAAAATCTCTGTCCCTCTGTTTCCCTCATGTTTTTTTCAACTGTAACTCATTACTGAGGCTGAGTAGCACTAACATTTGGGAGTCACGAGAAAAACGAGCTTCTAGCAGATTGTACTTGTCAAACACTTGACAAGAATGATGGCAACTTTCAACTGAGTTATAAAGATGGCGTGAAATATAGAAACTGTCAATATTTGGATGACATCATTTCTTGGATTCCTTAAAATGAGCCTTTTCTTTGCTTTTCCAAAAAGCAACATCTAATGGCAATAGAGGATATAGATGCTTCCATATCAAACTGGAATAGCAACAGAAGGCCATAATCCCACATTATGAGGTCACGTAAATGTCATTCTTGCTGATGTCTTGATTTTATTTAAAAAATTTTTGTTAGAATATATTGCGTGTGCTGAAGTATAGCTTGTTAACTATTCCAGTATATCAAATAAGCCATCCAGAAGGGGTAACAAATTCAGAAAGGCTAAAACCAAAGTCATAGGAAGATAAGAAGATGAATTTTCCATCGACAAAGTACAAAACTGAAGAATTTGATGGAATATTTAGAAAACAGAACATCCTTTTATTTTAGAAATAATACTCAATCCACTATTTTTCTCCCTCTGTTAGGAAAAACAATATAAATAAGTTTTAACTCTAAAGCCCTTATAAGGAAGATGGATTTAAGAAGATATGAAACAAACGATATGTTTCCACTGAAAACAATGACATGACTTTGGAACCCGGGGAGGCTGTGGGAAGTAGGCGTCTAGCCTTATACAGGCTCTAGGATAGATACCGGTGACGACGCCTGGCCTCCTCAAGATCGCCATCCCTTGTGCCCACTGGCATCTTGGGTTTTTAGTACTGCTGTTCCCCTTCAGGGCTGTATCCTCCCCTTCAGGGTTTTCTGGGTGAGGGGAACAACCATCAAATCAGCCTTGAACTTGGCATAAACAAGTGACACCATTTAAACACAGACTAGGAAGACAGAACTGCAAGCAAAAGCTCTAATTTCCTGTAATTTCAAACGAGACTACTCTGTGGGCTGTCAAGCCTTGGGTGAAGACAGGATGTTCTTTTATGGAAAACATACAGAGATTTCAGGGGGAGCTTTTGATATTCATAGGCGTATGTTTGGGTCCTAAATGCAGTGCCCCTTGTCTTAGCTTTTAACTGCAACACCTAGCAAAGGGCCATCCTTTACAGTTATCCAGCGAAGAGTCACCTCTCACTGGTGGTCTCCATGTGAAGACCTCGCGAACCAAGTAAGCTCTGCTGAAAGTCAATGGGAAAGAAGGATGCACCTGCCACCCTGGTTAGGAAGGAAGAGACCCAGATGGCTGCCAGGGCCCACCCTTCTGTTATGCCTCTGCACTGTGCTCTGGAAAAAATTCACCTTCCATATTTCTCATTAGCCACTTGGAATAAACTGTGCCTTGGGAATCCCTGAAGAAAATATTTTCACCTCACTGTCCAGACCTTTTCCAAGTGGTTTCCAAGGCTTTTGCCCATTTTTTATCCTGCCTCGTCTGTCTAGGGATTATACTGCTGCTGGGCCCATTGATTCCTAAAATGTAGCCTGCAGCTCATTAAACAACTGTCTTCCTCCCCTTCCTTTGAATACACCACTGTGTGACCAGCTTTGTGAAATAACCAAGAAAGCAGACGGGGCCAGGATACACATGTGATTGTTCAACCAAGCCACTGTGACCCTGGGGCCAAGTTGTAAGAGAAAAGACAGAGATTACAAGGATAATGCCTGAAAGATGCGTTAACGTGGGTCCCTCCACCAAATTAAAGGAATTTTTTTTCTTTTTTTCTTTCTTTTTCTGCAGATAAACGGAACAAAATGCAGCTGGAGAAATTAGAGTAAAGGATTCCCCGTCCTTCTGTGGGACTTGCCTTCCCCCCACCCCCACCCTCCTCCACAGCGTGTGCTGCTATCTTCCCGAACTCCCCCAGAGCCAGGAGAGGCCTTGCGATACCGAGGATTGTCATTTAGTTCCATTTCTTTGTTCCTTCGCTTCATCTTGTGCCACTGCTGAAGACAAAGAGAAGCCATTTGTTAGATTAAAGATAAGACACCTTCACAGGCTTAGCAAGGAATACCTTTTTAATACAGCCATTTAAATGTCTCTCACCCCTCACATAGGCCCAGGAATATCTTATTTGACTATCAAAGAGCTTTGGATATCTGAGCTGTAATTGCTGGCACATGGTATCTTTAAAGAGCATATAAATCACTGCTAATAAATGTATGCCACATTGACAACGAGCTTTGGCTGATGGGGACGATTCACTCAATTCTTCAAAGTATTCTTTGAAAACTGTAACCCTGAGTTGATGTGGCTTCCCTTTTCAGGCCCATGCACACACTCTAGTTTCCAGGGATCGGCATATAAAAATAACAATTTTCATAATGCTGCTTTGCAAAAGTCATTGATGGTTATGCCACCATTTCAGACTGTATTTATTAAATTATCTGCCTTTTTCACTACCCATGAGGGAGTGCTAAGAAGACACTGTGCCCCAGAAGAGCCTATACGTTTTATTTTTTAGATTTTTAAAATTGAGGTGTAATCCGCCTACAGGAAAACAGATCTTAAGCATACATTTCAATCTGTTTTGAAAAATGCATACATTAAACCCACACCACCATCAAGATATACATTATATCATCACCCCAGAAAGTTCCCTTCCCTATTACCCCACTCCTGCTGGAACGAATGATCTGATTTCTATTTCCATAAATTAGTTCTTTTCTGCCCTAGAACTCCCTGTAAATGGAATCGTACAAGTATCTCCTTGTGTCTATCTCCTTTCACTCAGTGTAATGCTTCTGAGATTCGTTCATGTTGCTGCTTTGTTAATCTGTTCCTCTTCGTTGCTAACTAGAATTCCCATGTATGTATATGTCACTTTTTAAAGTTCATTTTCCTGCTGCTAGACATTTGTGTTGTGTCAAGTTTGGGGCTTTTGTGAGCACATCTGCTATGCATATTCTTGTACAAGGCTTTTGTGAATATAGGTTTTCATTTCTCTCAAATAGGAATAGAATGTTGGGTCACAGGATGGATATATACTTAATTTTACCAGAAACTAACAGTTTTTTAAAATGTGGTTGAACCATTTTATATGTTCCCCAGCCACGTGTAAGAGTTCTAGCTGCTCCACATCCTCTGTAACATTTGGTGGTGTTAACTTTATAATTCAACACTAGTGGGAACATGGCGGGATTTCATTGTGGTTCTGTATTTTATATCTGCGGTCCCTGGTTTTCAGTAATCTCAGTCCAAATTAAATTAAGCCTGGAGAGGCTTGGTGGGTATCAATCAAATACATAGCCCTACACTGCTTTATCTCCTTGTAGAACTCTTATTGAACTTAACATGTCTTGGTTATTCTCTTGCTCTCCTTCCTGTCTCTTCGTGTGTCTTTTATATTACTACATTTTAATTTGTTTTTTCTATTGCTGTTAATTATTTAGTGTTGCTCTTTTCTGATTGTTTTATGTCTGCTTTTAACTGTTTTCTCATTCAAATGTAGCTATTTTATAAAATCTTCAAAATTCCCTACTCTCTTATATTCTCATAGTGCTAATTGTCCTGTAATTTTACCTACTGACTCTCACTCAAAATGGATCATTTCCTTGTGTGTTCTGTAAGTCTTAAAACTGTAAATTCAGCTTCAGAATTTGCTTTTCTTTTGCAGAAATTCCATGGGGTAGTTTCATATTTCCATTTGCCACATACACCAGGGATCACACCGGTCTGTAATCAATTATTAAGTTCATTTTTCAATTTGTTTATTACTGCATGACTTTGGATCACATAAAATTGTGTTTCAAACTCACAGTGTATTTGTGGTTTCTATCTATCTCGGGAGCCTTTTTCTTTCCCCATGCAGTACCTGGTACAGATCCAAGTCTTTCTGTTAATTTCTTGAGCTGGAAGTCCCAGATTTATTTATGCAGAGGTATCAGTTCCAACTCCTTACCTTGAGTGGTTCAAGGTCCAAGGTGGGCATTAAAATGCAAGACTGTGGCCATAAAGGCCTGTCTCTGTATCAACAATCTGAAGCCCAAAATTTAGTGGCTTATAATATGAGTGATTCATTATTTCTCATGATTTTACCATCTGGCCTTGACTCAGCTGGGCAGTTCGTCTGCTTGAGGTGGTACCTGCTGGGGCCAGAGCATCTGAAAGGGACTCTCATTTTCTAGGACTTTTCTCCATGTGACCTCCTTCATTCTATAGGCTAACCTGGGCTTCTTCCAAGGTGTCTGGATTCCAGGCAGCGAGCATTATGAGAGTGCAAAAATGGAAGTTACAAGCCTCTTAAAGCTCAACCTAGAAGCCACATTCAGTCTTCCATGTTTCTCCAGAACCAAAGGTTCAGATTCCATAACCATCTTTACTGCCCTCAAATACTTGTTGGAAAACATTTACATTTGGAAAGTGTTCCATTGATTCATTTAACCCTCCCCCTGTTGTATCCTTATGCTACCCCTGATTTTTTTACAATTACAAATTATACAACGCCAAGCATTCTTGTATTATGTCTTTGAACTCTCTATTTCACTGTATTTCTTTAATTTCCTTGAAGGTATGATTCATGGAGCAAAGGTTCCTTCTTCCTGTCAAATGACCAGATCACCTTAACAAACCCTTCTGTGTAAATATTGCTGTGGGAGTCAGTGATGTTGCACAAGTCATTCATTCTGCCTCTGTGACAACTGTGTCCAGAAACTTGCTATTGCTTAGGGAGCAGAATTTTGAATTGGAGTATTTAAATTTCCATTTATGAGCCAGGTGACCCTGTGCATGTCACTTCTCCTTCCTAGAATTTAGTTTCCTTAAACTAATTTTGGACTTTAAGTTTTGATACCTGGACTATAATCCCAGCACTTTGGGAGGCTGAGGCAGGTAGATCACTTGAGGTCAGGAATTCAAGACCAGCCTGGCCAACATGGCAAAACCCTATCTCTATTAAAAATACAAAAAATTAGCCAGTCATGGTGGTATGCAACTGTAATCCCAGCTACTCAGGAGGCTGAGGCATGAGAATCACTTGAACCAGGGAGGCGGAGGTTGCAGTGAGCCAAGATCGTGCCACTACACTGTATCCTGGGTGACAGAGTGAGAGTCTGTCTCAAAAAAAAAAAAAAAAAAAAAAAAAAAAGTTTTGACACCTGATTCATTTGGGTCAACATATAAGTTCATTTTTATTTTCAAGAAAAATATCATTTTGATATTAACCAAGAAAAACAGAGTAATCCTGGTACTTTATCTGGATACTGGTCACACAGGAAAGTAATAATGTCTGTAAGAAAAAAATCTAGACAAGAAGTCTGTAGTTTATTGGCAGCAAAAGGGTAAAAGGAAAGGAAACACCGAGGTGCTTGCATTTAAATTGTTCAGGTTTAGTCTCACTTCATTACTTTTTAATGGAAACTCCTCAACCATATCATTTCTGCAGCTTAGCAGGATATTTTAAATATATAAAGAAAGTAAAAAAAAAAAAAAAAAAGAAAAAAAAAGAAATGTTTATAAGAACATGTTTGTATGAGCTTACACTTTTTAGCAGTCTTATGCTATACATACATTACACAGATACCATTACATTTAGTTTTAAAGGATGTTCAAGACCATACAGTAAGAAGACATGTATTCTTTCACACATTCCCAAACTTCATTCTTCCATGATGCTGGAGCACAAAAATGGTACAGCCAAGCCTCTTAGGAAAGTGTAGAGAACCATGAAGAACATGCAGGGAGTGCAAGGAGGTATAGGGGGCAAGGGTGTCAACGTATCATTTGTGCCTTACACTCGATGACCCATGATTCATTTATTCCATAGGTTTTTTTTTTTTTCAACTAAATATTTTAAACCAAGAGTTGGAACAGTTACAAAAGCAAGCACGATTTCCTTCTTCTAATTCTTCTCATCAGCCCTCAGGGTATGGAAGAGGATTACAGACCATTCATGTAGCAGTGTAAAGGAGGCTTAGCATGACTAGCTCCATTTTGCTCCCCGCTGCCCCCGTCCAGTGATATCTTTTAGGTTAATTGCTTTTGCTCATCTCTTCATGTAGGGTGAGCTAACAATGGCAGGAATTTAGTTTATAGTTTAACTTTAAAGCAAAGATGACAATAGTTCCTTCCCAAAACTAACCACGCAAGAGATAAAGACAGTAAGCACACAAGTAACAACATTATGTTAAAGATTTATAGGAGCAATGTGACCTGACCAAGGGCAAAGAAGTTTCACAACTCCCCCTTGGACCCTTGCTGTAGCCCAGATATCTGTCACCTCTTGATCTCAACCACCTCCCTCTTCCCTTTCCTCGAAGATAAAAGGAGCCTAAAATTCTATAAATTTAAGGTGATTCCTTAGGACATTAGTTTGCCATCTTCTTGGTTTGCTGGCTCTTGGAATAAAGTCATTTCCTTGCCTCAACACCTTGTCTCTTGATGTAATTGGCTGCCATGAATCAAGCAGTACTGGCTTTGGACTCAGTTGCCCTCATCATTCTAAATCTACTTTAGTCTCTACTGAGAGATTTAGAATGTTGGTCTGGAAGAACTCCTAAACATGGTCTGGACCAGGCTTTTTATTTTCCTGGGAGTTCCCTGAAGCTCATTCGATGTAACAAACCTTCCTGCAGATGCACAAGTCCACAGGTAGTGGTGTGAAAAAATAGGACCTAAGGCGGGCTTGTTTCTGTCCAAACACACATATATTCCTTTATACAAACTCCAGGGCAAAGACTGAGTGTTATGCTTAAAGACAGATATACCAAGCAACTCAGCAGGTAGCTTCTAGAAAAGCAATGCTTCAGAATCACCTTGGAGTTTCTGAAATAATTTGACCACTCCAGGAGGCCAGGGGTGAGATGGATGGAGACATATTTTACTTGTCAAAGCACAGAAAACCAGGGTATACATGATTTGAATGTGCTGTAGCTCATCTTTTCCCCTTCAAGATGGCAAGCTTCTAGGGGTGATCCTTTCCCCTTACGCTGTGTTATTTGGTTTAAAGATTTTCAAAGTTTATCCCAAGCCATGCTGTGGGAACTTGGCAAAAACTGAGGGAAATCCAACATGTTATTTGCAAATAGTTTTATGGCTGGTCGATCAATTGAAAATCTCACCACAAGGGGCATCTTACCTATTAGTTGATCTTCTTGTTGACTCTCTGTTGGGTCATTTACCTTGTCAACCTGACTATTCATTTCCACTGTCACCAGAAAAAAAAAAAAAAAAAAAAAAAGTTAAATATTCATTAAACCTAAATCTCTGAGACACATCAAAATGGCCCATGATTTGATACTTTCCTGATTTCCTATTTGTTGCCTCTTTTCCATTTGTTTCATTCATTCAAGATTTGGGGACTATTCTTGTAGATTTTTACTGGTGGGAGGAGAGGATATACCTCAGACATCCCCTTCAAATCTCATGTTGAAATGTAATCCCCAGTGTTGGAGGTGGGGCCTGGTGAAAGGCGATTGAATTGCAGGAATGTGTCCTTCATGAATGGTTTAGTGTCATCTTCTTAGTGATGAATGAGCTCATTCATGAGATTTAAAAGTGTGTGACATGTTGCCTCTCTCTCTTGCTTATTCTCTGGCCATGTGAGATGCATGCTCCCTCGTCCCCTCCCATGATGACTGTAAGCTTCCTGAGGTCCTCATCAGAAGCAGATGCTGGCACCCTGCTTCCTGTAAAGACTGCAGAACGATGAGACAATTAAACCTCTTTTCTTTTTAAATTATCCAGTCTTGGGTATTCCTTTATAGCAACACAAAAACCGCCTAACCCAGTGGAGGAGGGCAGGATTGCCTTCTTCCCTCAACTGTAGAAACTGAGTTATCACTTCAGACCAGATTTTGGGGTTGACAGTTTGGATGTACATATTATGATTCTTGGATAAATTCAAAGGCTTTAATAGATATCTAAGAAAATAAAGAGAGAAGGCAAAGCAAAGCACATCACTGACATGCAGAGGTAAGCAGCTCGCTCCAAAATGTCAGTATCAGGCCTGTTTGATTTGCTGTACTCTCAATTTCAGAATTCAAAACAGACCTTGCAGACTTGCAGATAGCTGCTGCAGTGGCAGTGAGCGGCCATGAAATAAAAAAGCCGACCATCTAACTAGATCCCATAGTCGTGATAAAACACGTGCTTTTACCTGACTCAGTGTATTCTATGTGAGCATTTGCATAAAAATAGAATGCATGATTACTGCCATTCTCCAGAAGTAGCCCAGAGCAGGCATAGCATTCACTCTAAAAATTTCCAAGGGTCAGTAGGTTTAATTAGATTGGTATTTTTTCAAGCATCAGAGTCCACATTATAAGCTGAGAGACTGAATATACAAATAGACAATGACCAGATCATATATAATGATAGAATTCTTATGTAAAACGTCTGCAGAAGCTAGCCGAGGCAACCAAAACACAGCCTCTGCAGCAATTGACTCAGAATGGTCAGGACTTGGTCAGGGACTGTCAGCATTCCTATTTTTTGCCCCTGCTTCCAACTTGGGACCAACCAGGGAAAGTCACATGTATTCCCTAATACAATCACTTAAGGTGCCCCACTTCTAGTTGGCCACGCCCAGCTTCTCTATGCCAACAACCTCCAATCAGAGGATGCTTGAAGTATTCCCTTTTTTTAATCTGTAAAGGGGGATTTCCCATCCCCTGCCCACCTTTGAGCCTGCCAAACACAAGTGATAATGGCCACCTTTGTTACAGTTACCTTTGAATAAGTAACCACTGTTTGTTCTCATTTGGGCCGTTTTCATGTATTTGCACAAAACCAACAGCCTATATCTGCTTTTTCACAAACATGAAATTAGTGTAAAGTTGTGGCAGATGCTGATTTTCACACTTCAAAGAGGCTTGAGAGAATGATGTTATACAGCATCCACCGAACTCTCTTCCAATAAGGAAGGTTTTAAAAGCAATTCTCCTTGTTCTCACCTGCAAACTGCCCTGAGTTTCTAATGATGTGTGAACTCATTTTAAACCCCATAAATAAACTGGCCAGATGCAGCAACCCTATGTAAGTATAAGCATTCATCCACCGTCCATCCTGCTCTGCAAAGTTATTGTAAGTTTACCCTTCTCCGTGTGGGAGTGTGCAGGATAAAATAGTGTTTCTTCTTCCAATCAAGGGATACTAGTTCTAAAACCTACTAATAAATGGTACTATAAAAAGCGTCCCATCATCAAATAAGTTTGGGAAAAGCAACTATAAATCATGTTAAACAAGTCTCTTTACCTCTGAGACTTCTGAGAGCCTGCAATCCCTTCCTGTGTATGGCGAATCTCCAAGCGAGGACTAAAACTTAGCATTTCACATTTACTTCTCTTTTATCCATGGGCCTGATATTCCTCAAAATATGATTTGTAAAGAACTAGCTAAGAATCATGCCTATAGCATCACAACCAAGCTGAAGCAGGTTTAGTTCAACTGCTCATAACTAACATGCAGTGGCTCTTAATGGACGCGTCTGGGGCTTAGAAACGTTCTCATGGGCAATGCATGCCCATGAGTAAAAGGTCAATTTGGGCTATATAAGCCAACGGGCTTATAATTAAGGGAGGCAATTCGGGTGATGATAAGCCTGTGGGAGCAGGGAATACCTGGTATAGGAAATTCTATTTAAGACTACAAATAACATCCACCATTAGCTAAATGTTTTCCAAGGTCATTATCAACTCAAAGTAATTTGTTTTTTTCCTTTGGTTAAAATAACCCAAATGGCAAGATATTTAAATGACTGATCACCTAACCAATTCTGGTTCTCCTAAACTCTATGGGCCAGTGGAATCAAATACATATTACATCAGATAGGCTCAAATAGCTGTTTCTCTAGCGTAAGTGATGGTATTTCAAAGGGCCCTTGGCATCATTGTGCAGGGGAAAAGGGATATTAATATTCCTGAGGCTCAGACTCTTTAGATGCCTACAAAATTAGATGTACGATTTTAAAGGTTTTTTGAAAATTTATTTTTAAGGTGCTTTTAAAGACTCACTATGTTTTTAACCACGGCATCGGATGTGATAGAGTGGAGTGAAGTGATGAAGGTACAGGAACAATCTTAGCCCACACCCAAGGTAAGGCTCTCCCGAATGCTGAGTGGAGCAGGGTAACAGGAGGCTAAGTACCTTTTGCAGAAGTTAAGTAATGCTTCCATAAAGTTCACTAGGTAGACTTCAGTTCACTTTAGTCTTGAAAGTATCTATTGAGTCCTCAGTATTATAAGATATGATTAAACCAAGACATATGATGCTTTAAAACAGCAACAGGTTTGTTTTTTTTTTATAAGAGGCTGCCATTTTTATTAGTTTGTAATACAAAATGGTTTTTGAAATTTACCCTGTTCAAACCAAATATGCTGCTTTATAGAACAGATAAGCTCCCTTATTTCTAGATTACACATAGAACATATGCCAGATTTGTAGTTTGCATGGGCTCCAATAGCTCAGAACCTTACCATCAGGACCTGGAGTATTTTCTAGGTCATTGGAGCCTTCACTTTTCCCAGGCACTCTAGGTGTGTCCTCGCCTGGAGCTGAAAGAGAGAAAGACCACAGTCCCTGATTAACAGAGAATTATAACAGCCTGAGGGCCAATCATTTCTGTCACCCTCCATTGCCCTTTGAAATTCAAAAATACTCCTGGGATTCAGCTGCTTCTGCAGAAATGTTAAAAGAGGAAACAGAGGCTTGAATTGCTTGAATACTTTAGTGCGGCCTTGTAAGTTCTCTTCAATTTGTGAGATGATCACATATATACATATATAGTTTCTCAAATTAGAAATCTTGTAGCATGACAGCAGGAAAAGTTGATTTCCTCAGAACAACCTACAGTTTAAATTTAGGGAAGTGTGTCTGTATGCATGGGTGGGTGTGAGAGAGAGTTTAAGTCGTTTAACCTTAGAAGAGGAAACAGAGAAAATGAATTTTGCCTTAGGCATGCCTGAAAGCTGAAAGATTCATTTGCCTGGTAGTGAGAGTTTTTGTTGTTGTTGTTGTTTGTTTTTTAAACAGAAATGAATGGTTTAGTTGTTTCCTTAGGAGACCTCTGATGCTCCCATTTTGGATTGCTGAGAATTTAGTCATCAGTAGATTTCCTTTGTGACTGGCCTCTATTTGCACAGCTTCACAAGGTGCTTCAATGAGAAGCTTCAGTGTAGTAAAGGAATTGTGTTTCATATGGCAAAAACATTTCCAGGTATTCAAAAGGACAATCATTTCTTGCTTCTTAGTTAAATCTCTCTTAAGTTTTTATAACTTGAAGCGCAAGGACATTTGTAAATACAAATACATATATAAAGTGCTAGAAAACCCAGAATTTTAAAGGTTTTATGATCTCTGTACATTTTTAAAGAGAGGATTAAATTTATTTTCATTACCTGATTACTTACTGTGCCCAGAGTATGTTAAACTTCATGTGCCTATTGACGAGAAAAAAGCAAGGACAGGAAAGATCCAGTTTATAACGTCTACAAAGGAAGAGATCTTCAGAGGCAAAATGTGTACTCTTGGTAATGATGTATTGAGGTTGACAATTAAGAAATATGATTCAAAGGTGACTGGGCTCTGAGCTTAGGTAGACGAATGGCAGAGAGGTCATTAATTGATGACATATAAAACAAGCAGAGTGGTAAAAGAAGAAGAAAGTCTTTTAGATTTAAAGCCTGAAGTGCAGGGGCATTTATGTGAGATATCAAACAAGTTTTGCATCTAGCATTGAGGAAAGAATTATGAGGAGAGAATCATGAATGGAACAGGTGGGTATTTGGGGGACACCAAAATAGGGTAACATTCGTAGTATGGGAGTAGATGAAAGAACTCGGGAAAAGGATAACACAAGGGAAAAAAAGGACTCATGGTCTCCTCAACTCTTCAAGGACAAGATGAAAGTCACTGTGTCCACAGTGCTTTTCACTAGTTCCTGAGAATGAGGTGGAAAAGGAAAATTAAAACTTGGAACTTCCAACTGGACTCGTTAACACTATATAATACCTTTCTCACACTGCCTATTCTAGAAATGTACCATTTTTCAATTGTTCATCAACATACTCCTTGAACACACAATTATAGAAGAAACCATTGGTGAACTCCCCTAAGCCTGGGAGCAGGAAAACTTTGCTAATTATGCCTTAGAACACAGAAGTAATCGGGAGCAAGAACAAAATAATTGACTTTATAAACATAATAAACTTTTTAATGGAAAAAATAGCAAAAGAGATGTTTAAAAAGCTACAAATGGAGGGAAAATATTTGCAACTTTTATCATAGACAAAGTGTTACTAAAATCTTTAACATATAAGGCCTTCTAAAAATGGAGATGAAGAAGACCACCAACTTAATAGGAAAATGGGCAAGAGATTTAACAGACAGTTAATAAAAGAAGATATAAAAATGGCCTGCAAAACACATGAAAAGGTAATTTACTTTGCTAACAACAAGAGGAATGCAAATTAAAATTATAATGAGAAAGGGATTCTGCCTAAGGTGGACTGTCATGATGCAGACTAACCCTCTACCGAGAACAGCTAGAAACACCAAATAAATTATTTAAAAATAGCATTGTAAGGCCCCAGAGTGCCATGAATGCAGGACAAACCCGAGGAAATGCAAAATGATAAAGCTGACATTGCACATGTATCAAGAAGTTGAACAGAGCCTGCAGGTGTTTTGTGAGGCTGGGGCAGGGAGCAAAACTTGAAGGTTGGGTTCTACCAAGGAGAGGTACCCTGCTAACTACCTCAGGTTTTCGGTGGGGTCCCCTGAAGGGTTACATCCTGGGGGCAAGGATGAACTTGAAATAGACCAGCTCTTTAAAAAAACCCTGAAGTCTAACTTTTAATTAATAAGATTCCTGATTGAATTACAGCGCTCTGCTGACTGTCAGACGCAAAAGTGAATCTTCTCTGGAGGAAGATTAAAAGCCTCAAGTTATCTCTACAGGTTTTCAAACACAGTGTCCAGAATTCAATATGAAAATTACCTGGCATTTCAGAGGAACAAGAACAAGTCACTGAAAACCAAGAGAATAAAAGAGATGACATATGGATATACATCAGAGATCCAGGTATTGCAGATGCAGCTTAAATAACGATTAATGTATTTTGGAAATTGGATGCCAAGTTGAATAATTTTTATGGCATAGTAGTGTATCAGAGAGTTGGATACTTTTTCAAAAGTCAGATGAAAATTCTAGAACTGGAAAAAAAAAAAACCCACAAAAACAAGTTAAGAATTCAATAGGTGACTTTGACAGCAGGTAGACACAGTTGAAGAGGAGGTTAGTAAGCCAAAAGCTAGGTTGGAAAAAGATATAAAGCCTAAACTGCAGATGAAAACTGCAGATAAGAGTGAAGAAACCATATGAGATAGGATTTATCTTATGTAAAAATGGAGCAAAAGGAATATTTTAAGAGATAATGTCTGATAATTTGCCAAAATTAATGAAAGATATAATCTCAAACCACTGTTTCAAGACCGTTATGATTCCCAAGCAAAATTAATGAAAAAAAAAACTATCACTCAGTCTAATCATTGTGAAACTGCTGAAAACAAACATTAAAGAAAAAAAATAAAGTTATCTAGTGAATAAAGATCCATTAACTTCAAAATAACAACAATAAGGCTTATAGATAAATTCATAACAAAAATAATGGAAGCCAGAGATAATGCAATGACATCTTTGAAGTGTTAAAAAAAATTTCAAATTTGAATTTGAAATAAAATATTTTTTGGAGACTACGACTGAGAGAATTTCATGTCCACAGACCTATACTGAAGAAATAGTTTCCACTACCCTCAAAAAGAAATAAATGTGAAAGGTAATGTGGACAAAGACCTTCGCATCATTATGCAAAACTTTCTTACACAGGACAAAGCACCAACCATTAACATAAGTTTATCAAAACATGCTAAGGGAGAGGAAAATAAGCCAAAGGACTCCTATACAGAATATATAAGAAATAAACATACAAAATAACCTTGAAAAGACAGGGAACCCAACAGAAAGTGGGCAAGACACAAACAGACATGTCACAAAAGAGTGTATTGTGGCTGGTCACTTAATTTTTTCAATAACTTTGACCAAATCTCATGGCACTTAAAAGCCTTGGCTTTTTCACTAGTGAAATGATTATAAAATATTCTGACTCATCTTAACTCTCTGGGACATCATCAGAGCTATTTAAAATATAATAATATTATTATTATTTATAAGAAAGGATTACTGTGGAAAAATTAATTGATAAGCTCTATCTAAGCATGACTTTCTTGACTATTTTCATAGGGTCCTTGTTTGTGATGGGATCTAGAGGTACCTGTAGCTGATTCTTTCAGGAAGTATCTTTCTAAGTTGTTACTCTCAGTGGTAATAACCCTGCTTACATTACTATGGAGAAACCCCTCTGGTATCACAGAGAACCTTCTATCTAATAGGCATAATTCCAGTGTATTAAACAATGCTTAGTGAAATAAGGGAGGGTACAAAACACTTTCAAAAGTTAGATAAGAGAGAGGAAAATGTTGAAGAAAGCAAAATGCAAATAGTAAATCAGAAAACAGTAAACATTGAAATTTCTTGCCCTATGCTTGTCCTTCTAACCTCATTTCACAATGGAATGTGTGAGAAATCTCAGGTTGTGCCACTGTATTGGCACAGACTAGTATGAGATTCAATGGCAGGTTTGAAATCCATGAAAAAGAGAGAAAAAAAGCAGAAATCAAAGTTGTAGCTCTGTATACCGCTATATTCCTGGAGCAGAGGGAAGTATAGTCTGTTAGATTGGCATAGACTCCAATACTATGTTTGGTAGAGATTGTTCATTAATTTAATATCATGAGTGCACATTAGGTTTTTGTGTATGTGTGTGCATGTACTGTGAATATGATGCATATGTGTGCAATGCTATGTTTATGTGAGTTTGCATGTGCATGCTGCGTGTGTGTGTTGTTTGTTTGGAAAGTGGGAGAGGAATGACAGATATTTCTTACTCTGTCATGCATGTGGAACTGGTACTATCCTAATAGCTTCTACACTGCTGGGCAGTGCAACTGAATGCCCTACAGAAATGAATCCATTTCACATAGACAACATAATCTGATAAAAGCAAAAATGGCCTCTGTGGCCTATTTATTCCAGTTTGCCTGTCCCTCCCTCTATTTTGATTGCTGCTTGTTGAAACACAAACAAGAGGTACATTCCAGTGCTCCTAGCAGGGGATAAAAGATGCAGAAATAGAAAGAGTCTGGGACATTCAGTACTATTTTCATTTTCCATCAACAACTGCAACTGTACTCCTCAAACCCTTGATTATAGCAACTTTTTCTAGGTTAGTGGAGTTACATAAAAAGTAATAAATGAGGCAGATGTCATCAGAGAAGAAAAGATACTGAGATGCACACAGAATGTAGTTAGACTTTTAAATATATAAATTTGAGATATGTTGGGGGGGTTCTCCAAGCTTTTCTTTTGAGATGTGTATTGACAGTAAACTTCATACAACAAATAGAATTACAAGTAATTATTTGGCAGAATCTGTAG